AAAAAAATTGAGCACTAAAATATAGATATGTAGGTATAATTATATAAAGGAAAATGATGTCTGCACACCCGGATTCAACACCCAAGTGTGCACACATCATATAAAAAAAAAAATGCCCATCATCCGATTCAATTTTTTTTTTATGTGGGGGGTGCACACCCGGGTGTTGGATCCGAGTGTGCACCAATCATTGTCTTTATATAAAACAAAAGCTTTTGTTTATATTAATTATTTTAATTTCTCCATCTTACTTTAATGTGTTATTTGAAGGAAATTATACGCATAATTTCAGTGAAGGTGCATTTGCACTGTGAAAAATGTGAACTAGACCTGAGGAAGAAGTTGCTTAAACACAAATGTAAGTAGGAACATAAGAATATATGCTTTAGCTTTTCAATTGATTGTATATTAATGGACCAATATGTTCAATTAATTTCCTAATTATATGATATATGCAGCCATTTATAGTGTTAAAACTGATATGGAGGCAGAGATTTTGACCATCAAAGGAACAATTGAACCAGAGAAACTACTCACATACATTCGAAAGAAGGTGAACAAACATGCCGAGATTATAGATTCAAAGACAGTGAAAAAGAAAGAGAAGGAGAAAGAAGAGGAGGAGGAGAAAAAGGAGAAGAAAGAAGAAGAAAAAGTCGAAGAGATATTCACTGAGAAAATTAAGATTATCGAAATCGAGGAGGAGGTAAAGGTGGAAGTGAAAGGCAAGGAAGGCGAAGCTCCATACTTCATTCACTATGTTTATGCACCCCAATACTTCAGTGATGAAAATCCAAATGCATGTATTGTCATGTAATTAGGAACAATACAACAATTCTTATGTTTCCATTATATAATTCAATACTATTTAACTTTGTATTACACCAAAGTTTGACATATTAATTACACCAAAGAAAAGACAACAAACTTAACAAAGTCTTAAGAGTTAATGTATTGAGAAAAACTTAAACATAAACCGATATAAACCAAATTCAACCCTATAACCTGAAGTTGTGCCACAGTCTTTATCACTACACCAAAGGCATCATTGATAGATATTAAAATTAACGCTAATACACTCAATTTAATAGTCAATCTTCCTACCGTTACTCAATAAATATATATATCTTGTAAGAAACATATAAAGTTCAACTTGCATTATATTCCAAGAAGCTGAACAATTATGAAATAATTTCTCCAATAATGTTGTTGAGCTAAAAAAGTGGGTTCGTAGGGATGAAATATCATCAACAGGAAAAAAAGAAATTAAGTTACGAAGTTACAAACTACCAGAGAAATTAAACAAAAAGAAGAAATGTTAATTGTACACAGTCTGTGTGTTGCCTGACCTTTCATGACCTAAAAGGGGCGCCACCGGCGTTCCCTCCCCAACCGTCCACCGGTAATTGACAGTTAGACGGCATATTCAGTGGCAGATTCAAGAATGGAAGACCCGAATTTGATGGATCTGAGTATTGGTTCCCATTTCCACCACTACCTGGCGAGTGTGACAGCGGCTGTTGCATCTGAAGCGGCGGCTCCTCCTGCTCATCCAACGGAAGCCTCTCGTATGCCACGTTTGTGAATGAAGAAGCTATAACAATCACCGGACCGGAAGCTATTAGAGCACCCACCACGTTCCCTCCAACCACCTGACCTTGCCCTCCTGACAAATATATGGTCAAACTAGTCGCACCTGCCAACAGGAACTTAGCCGAGTTTGTATTAATTCATTAATTTTAAAATCTTGATTACTTGAACTTGAAGTACTAATTTTTTCGTACCTGGTGGTGCTGGTGGAGGCAGAAACGATCCTGACAGGGACAGGATCTCGAACCTTCCGTGTAGAGTCACCACGGCGCCCGCTGCAGACGGCTGCCTCAGGCTGACATTAGTAACCGTCCCGCTACCACTCAGAATACAGATCCCACGCTGACGTTTCCTGGCGTACGTTGCAATGGAATCAAAAACATCACATCCACTGCTGATTTCCAAGATATGAGCTCTGAGGGTGTTGGCGCTTTCTCGAGTGATAATCACCGGCGGCTTTGCCTTGTTCTTGGAGCCAGGGGGTCGGCCGCGGGGACGACGAGCCACCATGTCTCCCGGCTGAGCATGAGAAGTGGAGTCATCTTCATGGTTTGAACCGTTGTTGTCCTCATCTGAATCCGGTCTCTGGAGGTGAAGATCAGGCTTCTGCAGCTGCATAAAGCCAGGAGCTGAACCTAAGTCTAAACCAGCCATTAAAATCACTTTCAAAGTTGCACTGCAGAGAAACTAAACCTAATCTTTCTTTCCTTTTTTTCTAAGATTAAATATAAGTGGCTAACTTAAAAAAAGAAAAAAGAAAAATGGTTTTCTTTTTGAAGATGAAAACCCTGAAATTCAAACCCTAAAGGCTAGAACCAATGAGAAGGAAAAGTGGGTTGATCTGATTGAAGAAGATGACCGGAGAAGAGAAGAAGAAGAAAGAAAGATGGAGTTTGATATTTGCTAATGAGTAATGCACACCTATTCACACGAAAGAAAGGGATGGTATATAATATAATTAGTTAGAGTGATTCGTACTTAAATTAAAAGAAAATGTACTTAAAGTTTTAATTTATTTTTTTAATAATTGAAGGATAAAATATTAAAATAAAACACATGGGGGGTTGTTTAGGTTAATTGCGTTTTGTTTAATTTAATTAATTATAGGTTTGTGTCTTTATATCCTTGTCTTTATTTTCGTATGTTTGAAAATGGTGTGTTCTTGTCCTGCTAGGGACATTATATGCATAATTAATCAAAACAAAATTATTATTACAACTTTCAAGGATAAATTTTGGAGTAGAATATTTCATAATTGATGATATCCTTGAATTAATTAAATAAATCCTCCAACCACAATAGGAAGTTAAATTATTGCTAATAGTTTTTTTAGTGGTAAGGTTGTATATATCATAAGTTAATTTTTGATAGTAAAAGAGGTGCTTTCTGGTCTGTATGAATAGGATTCAAAATTTGAAGTCATTTTTTTCCTTCCTCATCCCTCTATCTCATGAGAATTTCAATCACTAATAAAAATTTGGTAAAGTTTGTACTCATTAACTTAAAATTTTTATTTGTAACCAAAATTAAATGTTTAAATCTATGCAATATTAAATAGTTAACTTTCCAAATATACTAAAAAAAATGAGAGTTTCAATTAACTAAACTGTTAACAAGTTTAAATTTTCATTCTTATATATATATTTTTTTGGTATAGACCATCCGATATCCGGAAACCCATTGAACCACCGACTAATTCGGATTCGAGCCGGCCAAGACCCAACGGGCGGCAAAACTCTCCCTCATGAGTTTTAACAGAGTTGCATTGTTAGGACTTAAACTTAAGACCTCTGGTTAAGGTAGAAGAATCCCAACCAACTCATCTACCCGCTCATGGGCAAATTTTCATTCCTATTAAAAGTAGGTTATTAACATAATTGTTATAAATAATCTAAGATACATGTAACAACTATAAGATCACAGTTCATATATAACTTGATATACAATTGCTTGTTGTTTAAATTATTGTTTTTTATTGAAAAATAAATAATTTTATTTTATGAAAACATGTTAGAAAGATGCATATAATATTCTTTATAAAGTATTTTCATAGCGTAGAATAATAAATGGCATAATTGGATCAATATTACACTTGATGTGGACAAAAAAAAAAAAGTTGGATAATAGTATATACAGTCTAAGTAAACATTAAAGACTGTAGTACTAATTAATTTTTAATTAGTACCTCAAATAATTGGTCTAATTGGCAAAAAAAAATTAATCCTCTACATTTTTTATAGCAAAAGTTGGAACAAAGTAATTCTTTTACTAAATTCAACATGATTAGTCTGTCTAATTTGATATAGTACACTACAAAAAAAGTGTTATATACCAATTGAATTTGTAAAAAAAGAAAAAAAAAAAAAGACAAACAGATACCGAAGAAATTATGTTGTTTATAAACAGTATTATTTTAAAACTACATAATTTATACGAGACAAAAAAGTTTTTTTATTAAAATTACATAATTTTAAAATGAGATTCATATAATAGTATAGTTTATTAATCAAGTTTATTAACAATACATTTTTATAATGTAAGTAACAAAATATATAATAGTTTGAAATTTTTTTTTACAATTTAACTATAAAATATTAATCTTTGAATAAGAGATAAACCTTTTGACATTAGAATTTTTTATTATTTAAAAATTTGTATTTTACAATTTAAAATAATTCAAATTATAAAACAGCCAACTCATAATAAATTTTAATTGTGCAATCTTTTCTCCCGAAGGAGAATTTACTCTATTATATATCCATGCGGATTTAGAAAACATATCAAAATTAAGGAAATGCCGAATATAATTTCTAAGCCATAGAAAAATTTTAATTAAATTGTCAATTAGTGGAAAAAAATATAAAGAGTAGTAGTACTATATGTTTGGGAAAAAAGATGCCTTTATTTTTTAAAATAACTATATTAGAAAAAATATTTTTAGTAAAGAGATAAAAATAATAAATATTTAAAAAAATTAGAAGAGAAGAAAATGATTTGAAATACCCTAGTATGTAAAAGGCAAAAAATAATAATAATAAATATTTGCACGCAAAAGTAGTGGAAATAGAATAGGATAGAATACAAGGTCAAGGTGGGGGGTTGTGTTGTGGTGTCTTGGGGACGAGAGACGTCACGTGAAGTCAAAGTGCGATGGCTCGCCATTTGGGTCTTTGGGTTGGGTCAACCCACCGAGAACACCGGCCTTCGCGCCTCACTGGTCCCCTCCACGTGCCCCCTTCGCTTTTTTTTTTTT